GCTGTACCCTTATGCAAGCCAGGGAGAGGTCCAGGACAGGGGTCAGGGATAGCTTAAGGTTTGGCCTTAGCTATAGAGTAGACTTGGGGTGTAGTATGGAGTTGAGGGTAATACTAAATTGATATTCTGACTGGAGTGCTATGAAGTATGCACAGGGGTTAAATACATGAGGCCAGTCCAGAGTAATGAACATGAAGCTGGACTTGTTAGTCAGCCATTAGGAAGATGATTACCAAGGGGCAGACAGCCACAGAGGCTGTGCTGAGACTAATAGCCAAAGTCCAGGTGACTGGCATGACCAGAGTCAGACACAGGATTTGTATAGTAAGCAAAGGTCAGATGAAAGGACTAGACTAAATATAGTACAAACAAAGGAAAACAGACTGGAGTTATGTCTGGGTGACCTGGACATGGACCTGGGAGGACTGGGGTGGAGCAGCACAAGGCCAGGAGGCTGGAATGGACCAGAGATAGGGGTAAAAGACCAGACTTGAGTTACTCAGGCTGGAGTTGGGTTTTCCAGGCTGAGTTGGACCAGGCTTGACCAGAGTTAGGGGCTATGGGTCCACACTGGACTGGGATTGAGTCCGAGAGTCATGGATATGACACATGTGATGAAAACCATCAAGTCATCTACCCCAATGGACAGCACATTTATCAGAATGGAGAAGAGACTATCCTGCAAGCCTATGAGCACACTAAAGCTGCTGCTCAGCCTGCCAATGCAGTTTGCTTTGTTATCCATGAAGAGGCCAAAGAAGAATCTAGTGCCAAGATTTATGAGTTGGAAGAAGAACCTCTTGTCACTGCTGTGGATCACTCCAACAAGGTTACCAAAGAGAAGAGAAAGGCTGTCTTTGACAGTGTCCTCATCCCACCTTGTTTGCATGGCAAGGAGAAAGAGATTCAAGATCCAAAGCCCTCATCCTCTGCATCTATCCCTGCTCCACAGGAAGCACCACTTGCTCCTGCCTTTGTGCCCATTGATGTTCATCCCACTGTCTTTGATGGAACTAGAGATGACACTATCATGGAAGATGCCTCTGTCCCAAAGCCATCTGGACATGCCACTGATTCTGCAGACAGGTCTAAGAAATCCAAGCCCCCTGCTACCACTTCCCTGTCTTCATCACTTTTGCAGTCTGCCAACTCTAAAGCCATTGTAGAGCACATTCTGTCTACTCCCTTGACTGTACCTGTTGGGGAGGTCATTGGATCATCTAGGGATGTTTCTCAGCACCTTCAGGAGCTTATGTGATTCAAGAGACAGCCCCTGGTTCAGCCTGTCAAATCTGTTACTGCTGTTGAAGGAACTCTTCCAGTAGCCTCCTACTTGGCCCTGACATCTAGCCCCCTAATCACCATCAATCTGACATGCAATGGTTGATGTGTAACAGGTGTCATTGACTCTGGATCCACCCTCAATGTCATTTGCACTGGTATAGCCCAGTCAGTCATTTACATGCCAATTGATATGTCACAGACCATCAATATGTGAGATGCAAAAGGAGGTATCTCTACTCTGAAAGGTCTGGTACAAGATGTCCCCCTCTTCTGTGGTGCTGCCATGACTTGGACCAATCTATTCATTGCCCCTGACACTAATGCAGGCTTTGATCTCCTCCTTGGTTGTCCTTGGGCTCTTGGAAACTCAGTTAGCATTGTTGAAAGAGAGTCCAGAACCTATGATGTCTTTGGAGCTGATTCAGATCACCCCCTGGAGGTGTGTGTTACTGAAGGCCAGCTTGGGTCTGTTGCAGATACACTTGTGGCAACTCTAGAGCCTGTCCATTCTCAGCAAGAAGCCAATGAACCTATGAGAGATGTAGCAGTCAGTACCCCTCATCACATTTCACCTACAGTCTTTGCTCCACCCCCATCAACTTCACAGTCACCCCCTCAGTCACTTGATTCAATTCTGCTGTATCCTGAATCACCCCCAGTGTCAAGGTTGCACAACACCCCTGACTTCCTCTTAGGATGGAGTAGGAGTGGGTTGGGCTGCAGAGTACAGCAGTCAAAGTCCAAAGTGAATCTGACCACTGGGTGGCAAGATATTCAATGAACAGTGAGCAGAGGCAGAGGGGTGTGGAGGAAAGTTTTGGAGACAGAGGTCAGAGTTGGAGTTGGAGGTCAGAGGTCAGAGGTCGGATGAGAGGGCATTGGGTTCAGCTAGTGTGCTGCCCCCTTGTGCAAGCTCAGCCCTCATATTTCAGAGGTGGAGCAGACTCAGAGGGAGTGAAGGTGAAACTCTGGAGGGAACTGAGAGGGAGTTGAAGGTGGGGACTTTATTCAATATGCATACTGATTACATCAGAGTACTACATGGCCCTATATACAATGTAGGTCAAGGGCAGTGCAATGCAGAATGCAAACCAATAAGTGTATAACAGGTTAGCAGTCCCTCTGACACAAGGGGTGACAGGGACCTTAACTGAGACAAGGAAACTACTACAATGAGGAAGAGAGGGTAAATACTGAAGGAGTGGAAGAATGGAGAAAAAACTGACATGAGGGTGGAACCCTATCTGCAATGCAGGGCCACAAGTCCAACAGCCCACTGGGCTGACAAGGCCTTGGAGGAGGCACAGATGAAGGTCTGGCCTCCATGTGACCAGGCTGGGGGCAGAGTCGAGTGGAGTTGGTTGGAACATGGGACAGGGGACCTTGGAGAGGTGTCAGGAGGGTTGGAGGAGCATGGGAATGCATTGGAAGAGGGTGGAGAAGTGCAGGAACATGTCAGAAGAGGGCAGAGTAGGTGTTAGGGCTTATGTCAGTGTCATGGTCATGACAGTATCCCCCCCTTAAGGCCTGAACCCCTGAAGGCCATAGCAAAGCTACAATGGAAGTGAGTAAGGTCCAGGTTTGTGAGGATAGCAAGCATGGTAAGCAGCCAATAACTCAGAGGCATGTTCTAACTCCATTGCCAGCACCCAAGAGGTCTTGTCACCAGTGTTCTCTTAGCCTGCCCAGTGGACTAGATACAGTAACTGACAATGGTGGTGGCAGTGATCCACCTTTGAGTCAAGGATCTCTGAAATCTCATACTCAAGGTCACCATCCACCTCCACAGGTGGAGGCAGAGGTTGGTACTGATCAGGGAAGGGGTTCAGAGTAGCAGGCTCTAACTGTGACACATGAAAGACAGGGTGGATGGCCTGCATCACATCAGGTAAGCAGAGGCTGACAGAGTGTGTACCAGGCCTAGCTATGATAGCATAGGGGCCCAAGTTCTTCTCTGCAAGTTTGGCCAAAGGGCAGGTGGAGCAGAAGTACTTGGCCTTGACATAAGCCTGGTCACCAACTTTGAACTCTGGTGGCAGAATGCATCTAGCATCAGCTGGACCTTGATAGCAGAGTTGAGCAGCAGCCATCTCAGTGTGGAGGAAGTTGTGCAGGGCAGAAAGCTCCACAACATAGTTATGGGCCTTTGGAGAGGTGAGATTGCAGTTAGAGTAAACTGACAAGTTTGGGTGGTATCCCTTATTAGCAAAAAAGGGAGAGACCCCATTAGTATGTCCCAAATTTCTTGGGCACATGACAATGCATTATAAAGACATTTCAATGGTGGTTACTGGTGGATTCATTATAATGCATGCAAATGGTGAACAATTACTTGATCATGTCATGACAACACAGCCCAGACCCTATTGTCATTACCCCAATGCACATTATTATTGCCTAATAATGGAAATTCTGTGACATAAGCATATCATGACAATGTGGCATGAACCCTATGGAATATGGCATTGTCATTGGGTGATAATGTCATGATAATGGAGCACTGGCATCATTATCACTACTTGTTATGGCAATTATGACCAGACAATGATAATCATCATATTTCATTGGATGACATCTCGATGACATGACAATGCGAGTGTTTGACATTTTGATGGCACACAATCCATTGACATCAAGCTAATATTGCCTGGTTTCTATACCATATAGCAATTACAGAAATCATATTACATGCTAATATACACAAAATCAGCACTATAATATGATCTAATGCATGAGGTGGGTCAAGGAGAATGTTGTCATTATGAAAACTCAGGGCTGGGATGCTGCTGTCCTTGTTGTTGCCAGATGAGGTTAGAGGTGGTGTTGATATGCTGGGACTTGGAATGGCCATCATCATTGGGAGTGTAAGGGATGCTGCATACTGACAATAGAAGGACCACATGAAGATAGCAGCAGTGATGATACCCGTAACCAATGGAATCGATGCAAGACAGAACATGATAGCACCAAGTGACACTTGGCCAAGAGGCTGCAACGACCATTCCAAGGGCTGACACAGGCGAGTGGGTACCACTGCTGTGGCTGTGGCTTCCAGAGGTAAGGCCATCTGAAGACAGCTCACCTGCAGAGAGGTTGTAGACAGCCAGGGAGAGATCCCATTCTCCAGGGGCATGTAAGGACAACCAGGGGAGGTAGTGATGTATGAGGACATGTAAGAGTACTTGCCAATGGTGTTGGTCAGGTTCAGTGAGTCAAAGTCGAGATGGGGGGAAGATGAAGAGGGGCCAGGCACTGCCATAAGGTGATGTAAGCTACAACAATGATGGAGGATCTGATTCAGACTTACAAGACATGGAGGAGATGCCATAGGGGGACTGTGGGTACTGGAGATAGGTCTCAAGGTTGAGGGTGTCATAGGCAAAGGGGGCATCAATGAAGTTGAGGTTTCCAAGCAATTTGCAATGGCACAATGAGTGCACCTAAAATCTTGTCACAATCACTGAAGAGATCTGGAGGTAGGGGGAACCAGATGGGCTTGAGAGCCACATGAAAATGTAGAACATATGCAAATGCACACATGGTGGTACCAACTACTGAATCAATGTTGTTGTAGCCCAATGTGACATTGCTACCAAGCAATATTGTGACTAGGCAAGAGTGGTGTTGTTGTTGGGCAGAGAGGAGGCATTGTTCCATCATTGGGTGAAGCTAAAACTGGAGTGGTTGTCATCATTGTCTGCCAAGGCTGAGGGCAGTCACTGTTCCTCATAGTCCACAGATAGTATCAAAAACAATGGGAAAAGATACCATATAATCTTGTCCCAACACCTATGCTGAAAGCCAGTTGCCGAGAAGTGAACCATGGCCTCAAATAATTTGATGGCACTTTCATGCCAAACAACGCATTTCAAAGTTGTATAGCCAAGTTTACCTTCCTCAGCTGCATCCTCTGGGACCTTGAAGGATTAGATCGCATTAGATGTCAATATTGTGAGCAGACCATATTATAATGTGGAACTTACAATCGGAAGCCAGCTGACAACACAACCTCCTCCAATGGACTCAGAATTCTGGATGTCTACAGGGAGATTAGCACACCAAACAACTACAGGGTATTCTTTCACAGTGCTGTGAGATGAAAGCCTCGTCTTGTCAGCATACAATATAAAACAGAATGGTATGGCATTTTCAACATCAGCAGGAAGCTGAGACTGTTAAGGGGATGGCAATGTTATAATCAGTCCAGGGACAAGAACTGTGCTTGCACATACTTACCTGTATGTCCCACCAGCGATCACATGTCCAAGGCTCACCATAAAAGCATTCATATTCTTCCCCATTGTGTTTGTAAACCCATTCAGTGTCCCAGACAAAGTGTGGGGCTAATTGTGGGTTAGCAAGCAGGTCAAGAGCCCAGTCCCAGACTGGCCAAGTATGAACCTCAAACTCCATCTCCTTGCCCTTGTATGGCACAGAGATGACATGCTTGGTGAACTAAAGGATCAATATTGATAAATAGCATTCACAGCACAGCACAACTAATACACACAGGTGTTAATTCAGCTCCTGCATTATCACATGCCTTCTGCAACTCAGCATCATTCTTCATCATCGCCTGCTCCATACCTTTGGTTACAAGAAGGAAAAGTTCCAATAATCCATTGACTTGAGTCTTGTTCAATCCAGCATCAAGGGCGATCTCTGCAAAAAGATAATCACCTCAAGTTTTGAATGGTTTCCATGGCATGGAGTCAACTGTAGTGGGTGAAGCAGCATTGTTGATTCCAAATTCTTCATATGGCTGGTGCAAAACAGACCAATGACTGTGTGGATGGCACTCTGTTTTAAATTCAGTGGGCAGTTGGAGGGAAGCAGTAGATAGTAGGCATGATCATGATGGCAATTTGGTAGATATATTGGAAGTGCTTTCCACAGATGTGTCCACAGTTGCTAGAAAAATATCACAGTTAAATGATCAATCTGATAACACTATATGCTGAAGAGGTACTTACTAGGATCATTACTGTTCCTGCTGTAGTCATCATGGTTCAATTGATTGCTATCAACCAAAGGATCAACTATTTTATGATAAGTGAAGAATATCAAGCTAATATGAATGGAAACTCACAGCCATTGCCATCATCCCCATAGATATCACCATCTACATGTTCACAAACAGCATGGGAAGAACCAGTGTCTGATTGAGATAGATGCTGCCATGGTGCAACAGATGCACTGATTAAAGCATGATCATCTAGTAGTCGAGCCATTTTTCAAGCTGCAGACACACAATAGATCAATTCAAGCATTAGAAGGAATTTAAAAGCTGTGAACTCACCCTTGCATCTTTCTCTTTCAAACTCCTTCCCACGTTCGGCTTGTTCTTTCTGTAATTCTTGTTGTTTTTTGCAGCCGGTTTTGTGCCTTTTGATACCCTGTACCTTGAACTGTTTGCTGCAAAACCAGCATATATGGAGGGTAGAAAGTGTTTCCTCGGAGTAGTTGTACTTGCCTCGAGAATTGCGTGAGAGTCCCATGATTCAGGTTCTTGAGAAACAATGTTAGCATAAATTAATAGACAGTCTTCGATTATCATTGATTACTAATAATACCAATGACATATGCACGCGCTGATTACAGTATTAGCATCGAGCTACTAATCAGTAATACACTAGGAGTCCATGGAATGAGCATAATAATTGGATGGTTTTCAAAGCTGAAATGGTGGCTAAAATCATAATAGTTACAATAGTCAAAATTTCAAAAGAAGTTTAAAAAGTCAAAGCAACACATTTCGAAAACACTGCGGGTACGACATGCAAACTTGGAAACACCAGAAAACAACGGATAAACTGAGCGAGAAGAAAGTCTTGAGAATAAAAACGGTGAACAAGGGCATAAAAAATTCCTCCATTTCCAACACTCACGACTCTACATTGTCGCTGATTTGTACATAGCAGACTAGTAATATAGAAGGCGACGTTAGTACATGCAGAGAAATGTAAATACCATACACACCGTTTGTCCTGGGTGATCCTCCAATTACCACATGGCCGGTACCAACACTGTTGCAGTTGACCGTGACTGCAGAAGGTCCTTCCTTGTCATTCATCTCCACAGCACATGTTAAGGGATGAAAATGACATACCGTCCAGCCCACTCGACCCTCCAACTCCAGTGGAGCTGATATTCACCGCCCTACATGATTTCCTACTCTTCCTCTTCCTCTGCACATGTTTCCTGGCCATTTACTAAGAATTACATTAGTTATGCAAATAAAAAACATCCTGAGTGACTCACAGATACTTGTAGAGTAGAGTGGCTTTCTGTATGAGAATGAGTGATGAGAGTGAGCAATGAAAGTGAGTGTGGGAAATGTTCAACGCACAAGAAAATAGGAGTTGAAGTTAAACAACTTTACAAGCAATACTTGCGGCTAGTATGCAATTTCAGACGCATGATAGTCAGTAAAATTATTCACATAAAGTATGAAATGTGTCATGCGATTGATCAGGCTCGCCGTATAATGTTCCTTCATTGAGGACTCTAGCTTTTACAAGGAGCATGTGTACATAAATCACCAAACCGCTGGTGATGCGAATGCGAACATCTTGCTTTTGCTTGCGGAAAGCTCAGGGTAGCCCAGCGACAACAATCTTAGCCGAGAGGTCCTTGATGCCAGCGGGGAGGGGAGGGGGTGGGGGTGGGGGTGGGTGGTGACACAGAGGTTCTAGGTGAGTGCAATCCACACATGCAATAAGTAGATTATCCCTGCTCTCAGTATCAGGTCCTGCATCTTGATGGGTGTGATCTGTCCTGGCATCACCAACCATGCTCTCATTGTCGTTGTCAACGCCATCAGGTGCCAGTCTGCATTGCTCCCTTGCGACCACCTCAATTCATCCTCGACCGATTTCCACATGGCATACGAAAGCCAAATAGACCAGTGTCCGATCATTTATTCAGCGCTTTCTTGCCACCCATTCGATGTGGCACATTGTCGAATGTGTTCTGCATCCGATCCACACTAGCAGGCACATATTGTTCGCAGAGGTCACTTTGGGAATAGTTGGCAACATACTCGATGCTCCTGCGCACAACGATGTCAGGTATGAGTAAAGACCAGACCTACATCTTGACGTGTGGTGTGGGTGGTAATCGTCGCCAGAGGGAAGCGAGTCATTGGGAGAAAGGATGAGAGTGGGATCACGAAGTGGTCGTGAGCATACTTGTGCTTGTACCATAAATGAGTTGTCCTTTGAGTGTTTCTCAGTGGCAATCGATGGTCCCAAAACCAGCTTGAAAATGAATTAGTCCGAGGAATGACACAAAAGCGAGACGAAAGCAGCATCTAACAAATCAGCGTCCTTCTCGATGAAGCTCATCACACCAATACGAGCAATTCCCTGCATATTAAATGGTTAAATCCAAACAAATTCCATGTCAGTTGTTGGAGGACAAGCACAGTGAGCATATGACATTGTTATTCCAGATGATCTTGCAGAATCCAATGAGTATTGTAACCAAGTAGCTTACCCCTTCACAACAGGTAATGAAAGGATATGGTTAGCACCTTGGCAGGCAGAAATGAATTTATGGTTGCGACTCCCAATGCTGCAACCGTCATGGTAGAGGGCAGCCAGCAAGTGGGCATCCATGAGCACACTCAACAGTGTTGTAGAACAGGGAGATGGTGGAAGGGCCAGGTTACTAACCATGCGCATATACCCACACAGCGATGCAAATCTGCAAAGTGTCAGAAGCCCTGGGGTTACCTGCCAGAGGCACAAAACTGCACACGGGCGAGCCAGAAAGGCTGAGAAGTCAAACGGATGCATCGGATGCGTGCACACACACACAGAGCATTGAAAATGACTCGTGAACAGCTGCAAACTCGTTAGCAACCCCCGACGTACCTGCCAGAGGCACAGTATCATGCATAGGGGAGCCAGAAAGGCTCAAAAACTGAATGGATGCATGGAACGCATGCACGCATGCAGAGCATTGTGAGTGACCCACGAAGGCCTGAAAACAAATCAGAACACATCAGCCCCAGAACCACACCTAGAGGTGCCACACAGGCACAGGAACCACATGGATGCATCGGGCACACACACACAGGCACAGTGCGCTCAAATCGATGCGAAAATGGCTGCAAGAACCCAAAGATGTCAGAACGAGCCGAAACTGCCCAACTCACTCATTGGCACAAAGAGCTGGCAAAGTGGATGGCTTGGGGAAACATGCGGATGTGTCAGCTGCACGGATGGACGTGCAGAGCAATGGGAACAACCTGAAAACTGCTAAAAATGCCAGCAGAAAAGTCAGAACAAGCCAAGGACCCAAAACTCACCTTTAGAGCTCGAAATTGAAATGGCCAAGCACCCCGAAGGACAGAAACACATTAACATTGATGGAAACGATGTGCACACACTGCGAAACACGCTGATCGAAGCCCAGGACATGCAGAACATAAAGATTGCCTTTGAGGAATGGTTGAGGTGATAGGCAGAAGCGAGGACTTCGTGGCAAGTGTCAAGGTTGAGGAAGCTAGTGGTAGGGCTGGAAAATGAAATGGTGAGGTGAACAGCACTATTGGCAGCGGCAACATCGACTTGCAATGAGTGGAAGCAGCGCACCTGACTGCAAAAGGTCAGCATATTTGCAGCAATGCAAGATGGCGACAAAACGACTTATGGACCAGGGCCGCCAGACTCACCCAACAATTCTTCAAAGCCACAACATTGCGAGTGGTGACAGCATCTCAGGCCATGCAAAGCAAATGCATACAAATATAGTGAATGTTCTTTAAGGGTCTGAGGGGCTTGTTGAAATCACATGTGTGCATTGTGCATGGCTGGACAAGCAAGGTTTCTGGCGGCACTTCCCGATTACATTAGCATGCCATAATCAGGTTTCGCACACCATCATAATGACTCTTTCAATGCACATAATAATTCAGGGACATCACGTTATCATTTGGCTTCATTACAATGATGCCAAAACTTTTTGTGACATAGCACTCAGCACATTATTACAAGTGAACTCCACTAGTGGGAGTAACTCTGACCAATCATCTTGCTGATAGTTGCAGTAGGTGTGGAGGTACTGCTCAAGGGTCTGATTCATGTGCTCTGTTTGGCCATCACCTTCTGTGTGGTAGCCTGATGTAAAATGAAGGCGCATGTCTAAGGCCCTTCCAAGGGAGTGGAAGAGGTGTGACATGAATTCTGGACCCCTGTTGGAGGTGACATGAGCAGGCACTCCATGCTTGGAAAAGACATGGGTAAGGAAGAGTTTTGCTAGGTCAGTGGAGGTGATGGAGTCATGGGTTGGAATGAACATGGTCTGTTTAGAAAGGCAGTCTACAACAACCAAGATGGTGGAGTAGCCTGCAGAGTTGGGGAGATGCTTGATGAAATCCATGGAGATGGAGTTCCATGGCTTCTCAGGGATGGGAAGCTGCTTCAGTAGGCTGAAGGGGTGGTGATGTGGGACCTTGCTGTGACCACAAGTGGTGCAGGACCTGACATAGTTCTTTACATCAGTGTGGAGGTTAGGCCATATGTACTTGCAGCGAACAAGCTCTACAGTGCAGCTCTGCCCAAAGTGACCTGCAAGCAGATGGTCATGTTCAAACCAAAGCACTCAGAGGCAGAGGCCATCAATGTCAGGGACAAAGATGTGGCCATCGAGGTGGAGGAGACCCTCATGGTCTAATGACCAGCAGAGGTCTGTCAGAGTTGGGAGATGGGAAGTGGAGATGGGGTTGGAGGGCAGTGCAGAGATGATGTTGGCCTGGAGCTGCTCAACATCAAAGATCATGGCAGCTTGGAGCACAGGGGCCAAGAGGTGGGTAGTATGGAGGGATGAAGTGAACTGTTCCTGGGTAAACACAGGGCAGAGGTTATGAGGGTTTACCTGTGTGTAGTCCTTATCCCCTGCTTTTGGGTAAACATCCCAGTGGCAGGCAAGTGCATCAGGCTTGGCTCCAAGGTGGCCAGGGTGGAAGCGGATGGCCAGATTGAACTGGGAGAGGTACTCTGACCAACAAGCCTGATGGTGGGTTAGCAGAGCCTTCCAAGTAATGTTGCCAGTGGCAGAAGCCCTCAAAAATTGCCAACAACTCCTTATCATGAGTGTCATAGTTGAGCTCTGGAGCAGTGAGTGTGTGGGAGTAAAAAGCAACAGGGTGGAGTTCACCATCAGAGCAGGTAATTGAGAGGATACCTATGATGGCATAGTCTGATGCATTGGTCTCAACTGTGACAGGGGCATCAGGCACCCAGTGAGTAAGGATCAGAGCAGAGGTGAAGGCAGTCTTAAGGCAGAGGAAAGTGGAGCAGCACTCTTCAGAGAAGCTCCAAGGAGCACCCTTCTGAGTGAGGCAGGTGAGTGGAACAACTATGTCAGAGTAGTTACCAATGAACTGACAGTAGAAGTTCACAAACCCAAGAAAGGATTGGATGTCTTTAACCTTGTGCAGTTCAGGCCAATCATGAATGGACTGGACTTTACCAGTGGACATGGTCAGACC